AAGTTCGTGATGACTAGCTGACAAGCCGCGAAAACAAAAGGTCAGCGCCGAAACGAGCCGCAATTTGAATGGTTCGAATGAACAAAGATTTAGAAACGCTTTTCCTAGTGGCTAATGCGAAAAGACTGTATTTTGACAATTTGAGGGTGAAAAATAAGAGAGAAGAGCATTTGCAATACTGACGCTGCGAAAAATGTACAGAATGAATGTTGCCATAATGCCTTGAAATGGTGCGACTTCGTAAAGTGAATGACTTAAATTACGCAAAAATACGTCAAAAGAGCTGCGAAATTAAGTTTTGCACAAAACTCGTTGTTTGCACACGAAATCGTAGCTTCTGATAATAAAGTGCTTAAAATGCTCGAATTCGGCATATTACAATGAATAACGGGAAGAAGAATGATGAAAATATCAGAAAAACTAGGTTGAGAACAATGTTGAATAAGTCGCGATAATTAACAAAAAAATAATGCATCGGAAACTACGTTTCGGAATTAATGCTTGCTATGACTCTCCGGGTGCCCGCGAACCGTACGGAGCGTGCCAACGGTCCTGTTGATATAGCGCCGCCGTCTTTGTTCCCTTGAACGGTGGATGGCGCAGCGCGAACAACACTTGTTCGCGTGCAACCCATGAGAGGTTCAATTCCTCTCCGGGACCGGCTGGTGATTGCAAAAATTACACGCGGATGCAGTAGTAATACTACACGGAGAGCATTGCACACCCCCCAAGTAAAACTCGCAAGGCCGGTAGCAGCGCTCGTCCATCGTTCCTTGGGGGGCTCTCCGCCCCCTGAACCTCGAAAGAGGGGAGGGGGGTCACTCGCACTTCTACATGTCAAGGGGGTTTTGCTTCGCGAGAGTGAGCGAACAAAGAAACTGTGCGAGGCGCAATCGTGGCAAACAAAGCTAACATATCGACGCGACGGCCGCGCTTGGAAACAAACATGGCAATACGAAACTTGAAGAGACGAAATGAACAGACCGGTCGTTAACTAACTAATTCGCATGCAATCTAATTTACAAGGTACCTTAATTCGCGAATTCGCGCCGATACGGCACAACCTCATGAGCTTTTGCTCATGTTACACCTGGCCATAAGCGTAGATACTACGCAACTCCATGGATAACCTAGTCCATGATCACTGACGCGTTCCTCACTTCTCAAAAATAATACGCGTAAATACTACGCAACCCCATGGATAACCTAGTCCATGATAAAACACGCGTCCGCCCGCTCCGCCATTACCACTGCGATCGCCTTACAACTCAACGCCAGGATTTCAACCGGTGCGCACCATGCTCAACACTCGGCGGGGGCAACTCATCTGCACTCAACTGGGGCCCATAACCTCATCATCGCAACACACACAAAAAAGAAAAGTAAAAACACGAAATCGGCATGCGTCCACGCCACAATACTGCATCCGACGCGTACGGCTGCAGGGAGAGGTTCCAACATGATACTAACGCAATTTGGTTACCTACCGCGCCGGGAGACTTAATAAATGGCCAGTTTAGAAAGTCGGCCCTACAGGGCGGTGGCAATCATACAAAAAATAATAAAAAACGCAAATCACTCACCCTCGGCGTCCGTCCATCCACGTCCTGCGATGGATGTCACTCGCTGCTACCAGTGAGCGTTAGCCCAGTGGAAACGGCTTAGAATAATACAGCTGTCGTAACACCAGAATACTAAGCAGTTTATTGTAGTTGACACAGGCTGCAGTATAGGAATATGGACATGAGTATCATAAATCCTCGGTTGGTGACGACGGCTATGACGACGGGGCAAACGTCCGCCCGGGGATGAGGAGAGCGCCACCGCTCGGGAGCTGGGATCGGAACCTCTCTAGCTTGAAGATGCTTGCGCGGCCACGCCCTGAAATAGATGAGTCAGCGCTGACGTACTGTAGGCTTAGATGTTAAGATAAAATACCAGCGCGTAGCGCTGCTCTTACAAAACACAGATAGTTGATAGTTGATACTAGACCAGTACATGGCTGAATTCGGGTAAACGAGCTGGAAGAGCGTTTCAAAAAGCAACGCTACGTAACCGCAAGCGAAAGGGAGGAGCTGGCTAACATATTAGGGCTAAGCGCCACCCAGGTGAGCTGGCGACTACATGTCATCGTTATATCTCAGCAAACAGATCAAAAAGGCGAGAAGATGTGCTCGAACCACATTGGGATTATGCAAAAACCGAAATTGCTGTACAAGCAAATAACAATTTTTCATTCATTTTTTATGAGCACCCCTCATTTGTGCTACTGCAAGCAACAAATATTACCCCAATTGTCTTCCATCATAGACTTATCATTTTGCAAGGTATCAGACACGATCTCAAATCATTTGCACAAGTCTGACTTTTATACAGGGTGTCCCAAAAAATGTGCACACGTTTGATTGTAAATAACTCTCTTGTGATGAAGTGTTTCGAGAAGCTCTAGGTACCATTTTGTAGAGCAAGGTTCAACTTAGATTTACTGTGTTGAGCGAATCGCCGATCGCTCATTCTTACTGTAGGATTACGCTAGAAACTTTGAAGAGGGTTTTGAGCCATGAAAGGCTATATTTTGTTCCAAAAAGGAACCAAACCACCTGAAAACTCTCACACTGGGCTAATTAGAGTTGCTGATTCTAAACATCAAAAATTTATGCGAGGTAAGCAATAGCGGGCAATTTTTCAGCGTTTTTGAAAAGTGCAGGTACACCGTTTAGAAAGCATCACAGCCTTGTAAAGAGTAGGGTACTGAATTCAGCGTTTATGAAAATCCTATTACACAGGTTTCCACATTTTTTTGAAAATTTTTTAAAACGGCCGCTCTTTTACAGTGACACCATATGTTTGATGTTTCTACCGTAATCCTACAGTAAGAATGAGCGATCGGCATTTCGCGCTACATTGTAAATCTAAGCTGAACCTCGCTCTACAAAATCGTACCTAAAGCTTCTCGAAACACTTCATTACAAGAGATTATTCACAATCACAATGTGCACATTTTTTGGGACACCCTGCATATCCACGTCGGCATAGCATAGATTAAAAAGCCCCTGATGAAAAGAAGCAAAGGAGAAAGAGGCATAAAAGAGACAAATCATGCGCAGTATACGAAAGCCTTGCTATATAGAGCTTCAACCTAACGTTGACAAATGAACGACCATAGGCTGAGCATGGCCAGCTTAAGACCTCAAATCAAGGATGTTTAGTTGAGGACCAGAATTGCAAATGCATGAAGTTCAAAAAATTACAAACTGAGTTTACCATGAGTCAGTTGAATGTGTAAAGAAGTTCACCAAAGCCTTGATTACTGGGACTACTTGCTTTTATGAAGTGATGATGGACAATAGATTGAATTTACCTATCCATGTTACTCAATCTAGTGATATGTTTCAGGTGAAAATCTTGGGGAACGGAACTTACCTACCCGAGATATTTTCGCACCTCATGGGTGTGTGCCTGCGGGGTATAATTAGGCATAGCGAGCTCGCTGATTTCAGATGCTCCTTAGGATACAGTGCTAAGCTAAGCCCCGCCCACACGTTGCACCTTTTTGGCATAGAACCAAGACATGCCAGAAAACCTGGCAATACCTGAGGACATCGCGGCTGGCTCAGCGCCAGAATGTGCTAAAAGATGGCTGCGAGGCTCAAAATGGGGCTAATGGAACGAAAAAAGGATGGTGATCATTGGGAGGATTAGGAATATGAATGGAACATGCTTCGAGAAATTTTGTAAGCTAAGTCATAGTCATACATTAATTATATAGGTAAAATGTTTAATTCACAAGAATATGTGCAGCGTCCTGTACACGCTGATTGTTTGATAGATTAGCCCACCTTCATAGACTTTTACCAGTAAGGTTACATCCTCATAGCATGCTGTCCTCATAGAAAAATGAGTCATTTTGTCAGACGTTCCGAGAGAATAAGTGAAAAAGCACTTTTACACGCTTCTGAAGCATGCTTTATTTTTGTTTGTCGAGATTTCTTAAGCTAAAAGTCGAATTCACCGCAAAAATATCGGCTCTGTAAGAGAAGACAGCGCAAAACCAATAGAATATTTGAAAAGAGCGCCTCAGAAAACCCCTAAATCTGCATCTCGATCGAAAATGCGCAGATAGTTGCTGAATATCAGTTTTGTGATTCCACTGAATTTCCGGTTTCATGATTGATGGATGCATCGCGAAAGCGTCGATGGATATGGGCGGGGCTTAGAATACACACAAATTAGGCTTTGTACATTATGCTAATTGCGTATCTGACTACTCATAATAACTAAGGTATGCTGCGGCAAGTCTTTCGGGTAGGTAAGTTCCCGCACCCTGAAAATCTGGTTCCAAAACAGAAGGTACAAGTGCAAAAGACTGGCACAGGACAGAACCTTGCAGCTTAGCCTGCAAAAGACTGGCACAAGACAGAACCTTGCAGCTTAGCCAACTTCCTTTTAATCCTGTAGGCACATTTTTGTGTTAAAATTACGAAAAGAGGTTCAGGTTTCATATTACAGTTATTCGCTTCGGCTATGCCATTTGGCTTCAACTGCATCAGCAAGGATTAGAAGAAGATAAAAGTTGATATAATGTCGTGGAGATTGTGCTGTATACTTCTACGATTTGTGAAATATGAATGCTTGTTTGTTTGTGACATACTTATACCAAAATGACGAATAAAATTCAAATATTGGCAGAGAAAGTAATACATAACCAGTTATAAAGAATATACGGAAATTCGAGCAACGATAGAAACAGTTCTCTTCACAATCGTTTATTGGAAAATTGACGTTGCCATCCATTTTTGACCACACTGGATGGAAGCCTGGAGGAATCAGAATAGCAAATAGAGTAAAACTTGTGTTGTGAGAGATACGTCTGGTATATTGTGTTACGAGAGGCTGATGAGGTCCCCTATAACCAAGCCTATGATCTCCGCTTTCGAGATATCGGCTATCCCGTCCAGGATTTCGACTTGCCAATCGAACGATTAAAGAAACGAGGGGGAGGAATGGGCGCGAAAGACTGTTCCAGAACTTCAGTATCACCATCTCACCTGCCGGAGCGCTGTGGTACATTTAAAAGGGCGGCTACTCACTTCCCTTTCTACTCATCTTTACCCATGAGGTTACCGCTACTACTAACCGTTATCGGGTTAGCAGTTGGTAAGTCCATTTCCCGCATATTTCCTTTTGTACGCTGTCTTGTTGCTACATTTCTTTTCTTTACCTTTAGGTCAGGATGAACGAATCTGTGACAGTCGTGTTAATGGACTCTACGCAGTAGGACCATGTTCACCCTATTACGACCATTGTTATAACGGGATAGCTGCGCGGAAGCCCTGTGGAGACGGTCTGGTCTTCAATCCAGATAGTAAAATGTGCGACTTCGATGGCAATGTAAAAGGATGCGCAAGTAAGTGTTTCCATACTTTAGTAGAAACAGTGTATGCCAGGGTTTACAGATCGAATGAAAATGTCATGCATGAACAAGAAAGACGGGACTTACACAATCGGATGCTCATCCACTTACTTCCATTGCGTGAATGGGCAAATTGTGAACAACCAAGTCGACACGTGCTCAAATGGACTTTTCTACGACAGCGAACGCAACATGGTACGATTTCAAGTTGATTATGACCTTAAATTTTTGATTTTCGGATCCATATTTGGCCTCTGCACAAAAAAAACTCATTTTCTGTTAAAAAGTTGTTCATGAGGCCACATGAACCGTTTTTCAGATCTTTAACAATAAACTAAATAGTGGTCTTAAGAGATGGAGGTAGGAAAAACCAAATAAAAGCAAGCATCCTAGTGAAAGTTTATCCTAAAGTAGTAGATGCTAACACGGTCACATTAGGCTTTGCAGAACTATTGGCGTAAATGCAATAAGTTTCCAGCATATGTTACTTACCCATGTAATTACACCAGAACTGCTAATTTTCCAAGGATCATCAGAATTGTGCACACGAAATACGACTGCATTTAGTGTGATTATAAATGGCGAGTGCGAGCATGCGACGAAATACGACTGCTTTTAGTGTGATTATAAATGGAGAGTGCGAGCATGCGACGAAATACGACTGCTTTTAGTGTGATTATAAATGGCGAGTGCGAGCATGCGGTGGAAATCCAGAATTAGAGAGTAAGTCGGTGACAAGTCCTCCGCTTGCATTAGCGACGCAACAACCAAAGATAGAACGAACCATTTACACTGCAAGTGAGTTTCAACATGGAGACGTACACTTTTTGGAGCTTAGGTGTAATTTTAGGGATCAGAGGACGAGGCCATCATCACCGACATTCAAGGCCTTCAACCAGTTGTCACGGTAAGCCTGACGGGCCACACCCAGTGAGCAGCTGCTCCCAGCAGGTCAGTCGGTGTCGTGCGAGTATGGAGTGGATACAAAAATTTCTATTCCAGTACATTACGTGCGCCAACGCTACGTCACAGCTGGCAGAATGCCCTGACTTCCAAGTCTTCAGCAGTGCAGAGCACAAGTGCGTGCCAATTGAAACTGTCCATGAATGCTCCGGGCCGAGTCCCGCATCCCAAATCGACTGTTCTTTTGAAGAAGATGGATACTACGAGCTAGGATGTACATCAAACTTTGTGTTTTGCAGTGACGGAAAAGCTTCAGCGATGGTAGGTCATCCTCAGAACCACCAATGATGATGTTCTCAACCAGAGGTGCGATAGTGGGAGCCGATTCTCCCCCTACCTTCACTGCAAAAGTTTTGTCAGTTTTTTCAATCCATCGGCAAACATGTTAGAATGAAGGTAAACTATGACTTCGAAATATACCCAATGCAGAATTTCTTCCTCTTTCCAGCTGCTAAACTTTCATTGTGTATCGTTGCGAAAGCGACGAGATATTTGATGGAATTTACAACCACTCCTTTTTACCATGTTCAAATTTCGCTAATTTTCAAATTTTTTCTATGAGACTTTCAGAGGAGAAGCGACAGATAGGGCAAACCTTTCTTAAGCAGTTCAGTCACCATTCGATGCAAATTTTTCTCCTCTTTCCAACACTTGCCTTTTTTGTCGAGACAGGCGAAATTTGTTGGAAAAATAGCAGTACTTTTCAATTTCAGGAGTGCGTGACGTAACGTATGCTTTAAAACCTTCATAATTTATAGCGAAAATCGCTCATTTACTTCGTTATGGTAGCGGTAGTAGTAGTCGTGTGTTGAAACCTCAGTTTTCTGTAGGTTTTGCTGTGTTTGGTGCAATAACAGGTTATGCGATTTTTCCAAAACACAAGACTTCTAGAAAATTATTTAGCAAAAACCTGAAAAAGCAGCTAAAGAAAAGAAAAATTGCGTAAGTTGGCAAAAGGTTTGCCCTATCTGCAGGTTATTAGCGCTCCTCCGAAAGTCTCATAGAAAAAAATTGAAAATTAGCGAAATTTGGACATGGTAAAACGAGTGGTTGTAATTTTCATCAAATATCTCATCGCTTTCGCAACGATACACAATGGAAGTTTAGCAGCTGGAAAGAGGAAGAAATTCTGCATTGGTATTTTGAAGTCATAGTTTACCTTCATTCTAACATGTTTGCCGATGGATTGAAAAAAGTGACGAAACTTTTGCACCCACCTAATATATTTGAAATAAACGTGTTCAGTAAATGGTGTACTTATGTAAAACTTAGCGAAAATGTACGGATCTTATTATGCAAGTTTTGTTATAACGTACAGTGAAGAAAGTAGATCAATCCAGGCAGTAACGGCCGAGAACCAGAGTTTCGAATAATTAATTAGTGAAAAATCATGCAATATTTCCACTGCTATAAATCTGTTGTTTGAAGATGTCAGCAGTTGCGACTTCATAGGTTTCAAAGAATAAATGGTGCTCTATCGGCTAGTGAAAAAGTTGAGTGGATTTGAAAGATAGTCGTTGAAAACCAGAATTCTAGAAATTTACGCCATTTTTGCGTGTTTTTTGACGTTGACAGTTAAACTCACATAAATCTTGAGTGTGAAAGTGTGTGATGTTGCGACTTCATAGGTTTTGTAGAGTAAGGTTTGCCTTATCAGGATATATCTTATCCGTTCCGATCCATTGGAACAACTCCGAGATCCAGAGTCTTGAAAAAGCAGGTAAAAAAGCGCTTTTTGAATTTCAACAGCTCATAACTTCTTCAGAACCGCATGAATCATGTTGCGACTTCATAAGTTAGATTCTTCTCATCAAGAGTTTCCAGAAGATATATAATATGTGGGGGTTTAGGGCCTCCTACGAATTATGCCCTGGGGAAAGCCATTTCATACCAAAGTCTCCCCCTCGGTACGGCTAAGATATACTCAAATAAGGCAAACCTTATTCTACAAAACATATGAAGTCGCAGCATCACACACTTTCACTTTAAGATTTAGGTGAGTTTTGTCAACTGTCAAAAAACACGCAAAATGGCGTAAATTTTTAGAATTCTGGTTTTCAACGACTATCTCTCAAATCGACTTCGGATCGAATTCCTTCAGTGTCTGATGGAGTACCATTTACTCTTCAAAACCTATGAAGTCGCAACTGCTGACATCTTCAAACAACAGATTTATAACAGTAGAAATTTCGCATGATTTTTCACTATCTAATTATTGAAAATTCTGGTTCTCGGCCGTTACCGCCCGGATCGAGCTACTTCTTATGTTATGACAAAATTTGCTCAATAAATTCCGTACAGTCCCACAAACTTTTACTTCCAAATACACCATTTATTAAACACGTGTATTCTAAATATATATAAAATTTATAAGTATTTTTTATATTCATCGTATCTGAGGCCCCAAAGAGGGCCGTTGGGTCACAGTTCGACCTAGAAAGATAGTTCTGTTCGTCCGTTCTACCCCCCTCCCCTTCCCCCCGGCCCACATTTTTGGGAAGTGGTGTCCGACACCACCACCTTCACCTTTGGCCGGCCAGTGGTAGCTGGGACCACCTTCACTTTTGGTGGGCGCGGCTCCCCCCATCGCACCTCTGATTAAGAGTCTTGTGCAGGAGTCAGCAGTTCGGGGGCTGCTGCGGTTGTTCACACACAACCTATCGTTGAAAACTCCAAATCCGTATCGTAAGCGCCATAGCATATACATTGGTCTACTGGGATAATGTCATAATAGATCTAGGACTTCATTTTGTTCCCTTCGAAAAGACGGTTTCTACTCAGAAGGCTGCAGTTGTGATTTTATTTTTTGCGACCATGGACATGCCACTTCTATGGTAAGTTCAATTTATTCAGAAGTTCCATTATGATACGCTTTCAAGAAATGTCCTCACGATCTGGTATTCAACCAAGAAAGGGGATATTGCGACCATCGGAAGTCCTGCAGCGAGCAGCACGCAAAGCTTTCACTTTCAAAGGATTCGATGTCAAGTTCTGCTGCCGTCGAAAGTCCAGGACTAAAGCACAGCTAGTGTCGTAGGTGTTCTTCTTCAGTGGAGCTATATGTCATGAAACAGCTAAAGTTTTCTAGGACTGTAGACTGCACCGGAAGAAGAGATGGCTACTATTCGAAAGGATGCACTTCGGAATTTATTTTTTGCAATGATGGAAACGCAACGCCCCTGGTACCTTTTCGAGGTCCTAACTAGGACGTCAGATACTTTGATGCGAAATTTCCAGAAATGTCCATCTTCGCTGGTGTTCAACATGAATAAACTGCGTTGTGACTATGTCGAGAGTTGTGCGGCGGAAGCTCCAGGCGTTACAACCAGTGCACCAGTTCGAGCTCCTCCAGGAGTAACGTAAGTTTTTTTTGGAAATTTTAAGACATTTTTTCTGAGAAAGCATAATTCAAAGCTGTTTCTTGCGATGGGAAAGAAAAAGGTTACTACTCGAATGGTTGTACGCCTAATTACGTGTTTTGCAACGAAGGGATCGCAACGGCTGTGATATTCACCGCTGAGCTTTTCATATGATCGTCTTCATGTCTTTTGCAGAGATGTCCGTCATCACTCGTATTCAACCAAAAGAAAGGTTTATGTGACTATCCAGAGGAGTGCTCAGGAGAGATAAACATGCTTGAACCTGAAGCATTGTCACAGCCTCAACAACATTCCACATCACTTCAGTCGCAGACAGTTGTTAGGTATCATAAATAAACGCAGATACGAATTTTCTGTTAAGAGCCATCATGTTTATTTAAAGTTCCGTTAACTGCGAAGGTAAGGAAGACGGTTATTATTTAAGTGGATGCACGGCACACTTTGTCTTTTGCAATGCTGGAAAATCAACAATGATGGTAAACTACACAATTTTTAATACATTTCTTTTTTAAGTATTTCAGAATTGCCCTACTGGACTAGTATTTAACGAACAAAAGGGGAATTGCGACTACCTCGAAAGTTGCATTTCTGAAGCTGCTTCACCCGTATTGGAGAAAACAGCATCCGTGGTGGAGACGGCCGCGTCTGTCCTGACTGCGGCACATGAAAGATAGGCTAGGTGCTTGGGTAGTGATGGAACTAGTCAACGTCTTCATTGTAGCAGCATCGATTGTAAGACGAAAGCTAATGGTTACTATGCGCTTGGTTGTAGTTCTTCATCGTCCATTCCAATGACGGATTTTGACGACCTTGGTAAGTAAAGTGCCCTAGCCTTCTCGTAAGCTTACAGCTTCATTCTAGAAATGTCCTTCTTCGCTAGTCTACAACGAGGATGAGGGAATCTGTGACTATCCCGAGAAGAGCTGCACACCCAACCCCCATCATACGCATGTTAGTCCTGAGGTGACAGTCAGGCAAGAGTGTGCAGGCTGTGACAACTGCTAAACACCAGGCTGCTCACGTGTCTCTTGGCGACAAGTAAGTTAGTGATTAGTGACAGTAGATCTGATCTTTCTCTTACCTTTTGAGGGTTGGATTGCAATGGAAAGAAAGATGGGTTCTATTCACGCGGCTGCGTTAATACCTATGTTTACTGCGAGAATGATTCAGCAACTACTATGGTGACTCCCTTTCTAAAGTAAAAGAAAGTTGCGATCAAGCACAAGCATCTTCCAGAACTGCCCTCACACGTTGGTATTCAACGAGAGGAAGGGCCGTTGCGATTACTTAGAAACTTGTCAGACAGAGGTCAAAACATCTTTGGCAACACCATCTCCCTTCATCACTCCTGCCCCAACTGTGGAGATACCAAAGCTGCTCAAAAGTTCGTTTTTTCTTTTGATTTTGTTTCAGACAATTCTGGAAATGTAGTAACGGTAATGAATTTACCACTGATAATACAGAGAAATTACAGGTCTTTCGAATGCAAGGGAAAATCTAATGGATACTATTCCCTTGGGTGCACACCTGACTACGTTGCATGCATTGAAGGAGTAGCCACTGCAATGGTAAACTTTATCTGATTACGGCTATAAACTCCTAAGACCATTTTTACTCTTTCAGATGTGTCCTTCTAATATGGTGTTCAACGAAAAGAAAGTAGCCCTCGATTATCTGGAAAATTGCTTAAAGGCGCCGATCGCTCCATCTTTGCCAGTTTCCACGGATTTGGTGCAAAGTGTCGTTCAACATACAACATCGGAAATGACATTGGAGTGAGTGGAGAGCTTCCAACTTCAATGCTGGAATCACGTTTTGCTTGCGATTTAGAGAAATCGACCGTTCTGGAAAGAAGAACGGGTACTACTCCGAAGGTTGCTCCTCCACTTTCGTACTGTGCAACGATGGAGTGGCGGTGACGATGGTAGTCCATTACTGAATATTACTAGTATTTGCAAAAGCTTGACTTGACCTCCACAGAAATGTCCTCCGACACTTGTCTTCGATGAGAGAAAAGGACATTGTGACTACTTGGAAAGCTGTTGCAGGCCACAGTGGTCACATTTCCACCATGATCAAGCAATGTAACCAATGATTCTTTGCTTATGTACTACTAGCTGGCTTACCCGGCTCCGCCGTATCCGAACCAAACTTGGCACACATACACTTCGGGCCCGGCGGGTGTCACAGTCCACTTTTCGTTATCGATCGATGTAGATTTTACCGATTTTTATCGATTTTTTTTGCAGAGTTCACCTACAGGGCTAGGAGTTGGCACAGGGGGGAAGTGAGCATGGGGATTCCGAATACAATATTAGTTTTCAGAATTATCGATTACTTTTATTGATTTTATCGATTTTTTGTAAATTTTGACATGCGAGGCTGGGATTTTGCACAGGGGGTAATCGAGCATGCTGATTACGAACACAATATTAGTTTTCAGGATCGTCCATTACTTTTATCGATTTTATCGATTTTTTTTGTAAAGTTTGACCTGCGGGGCTGGGAGTTTGCACAGGGGGGTAATCGAGCATGCAGATTACGAACACAATATTAGTTTTCAAGATCGTCCATTACTTTTATCGATTTTATCGATTTTTTGAAAATTTGAGCTAGGGGACTGGAATTTGGCACAGGGGTGTAATCTAGCATGCTGATCACCCCCCTTGGGGATGATCAGCATGCTCGATTACCCCCCTGTGCCAACTCTCAGCCCCCTAGCTCAAACTTTGCAAAAAAATCGATAAAATCGATAAAAGTAATCGATAATCCTGAAAACCAATATTGTATTCGGAATCCCCATGCTCGATTACCCCCCTGTGCGAACTCCCAGCCCCGTAGCTCAAACTTTGCAAAAAATCGATAAAATCGATAAAAGTAATCGATAATCCTGAAAACCAATATTGTATTCGGAATCCCCATGCTCGATTACCCTCCTATGCCAACTCCCAGCCCCGTAGCTCAAACTTTGCAAAAAAATCGATAAAATCGATAAAAGTAATCGATAATCCTGAAAACCAATATTGTATTCGGAATCCCCATGCTCGATTACCCCCCTGTGCCAACTCCCAGCCCCGTAGGTGAACTCAGCAAAAAAATCGATAAAAATCGATAAAATCGATATCGATCGATGACGAAAAGTAGCCTATGACACCCGCCCGGCCCCGAAGGGTATGTGTGCCAAGTTTGGTCCGGATCGGTTAAGAAATAAAATTTTCTATTCGGAACATACGTACATACATACAGACATACAGACATACATACAGACATACATACAGACAAACAGACATTCAGCTTTATATATAAGATGTAGATGTGCAAAGAATCGCTGATTACATTGATTCAACCGCATGCGAGGAATCCTCAGTTACATTGCCTTCACTGTATGCATAAAATCATCAAGTTCAAAGTATCTAGCGTGCTCCGGCATTGTAAACCATGCGCGCCGGCTAATTTAGTACCGGGTCATGCGGCGCGCTTTGCGCAGCCATGTGTAGATTTAATGTTGTAATGGAGTACATGTTTAATGGAAAAATTCTTGCAGAAATGCCCTGCTCCACTTGTCTTCGATCAGAAGAAGGGGCAATGTGATTATCTGGAAAACTGCAACAAGAAGTCGAGTCCTTTGCCGCTAGCAAGTACAGTATACAAACCTCAGGCTCCATTCGTGCCGGATGTTGTCGACTGCACAGGGAAACCTAACGGATACTGTGCGAATGGCTGCTCGCCTTCCTTTGCGTACTGCCTGGATGGAGTCGCGACACCCATGGTGAGGAGAGATCTCTAAAAGCTTCTGACAAATTTCAATGTTCATGTTCAGAGATGTCCACCTTCTTCGGTGTCTAAGCAAAATAAAGGGCAGTGTGACTTCGCGGAGCGCTGCTCGACCAAGGTTCCACTGCCTGGGACAGTATCTGTGCCGCACCAGACACCGGTGCCTGTGGTGCAACAACCGGCCCGCCTGTGGTGCAACAACGGCCCCTGCGCCTGTGGTGCAACAACGCCCCTGCGCCTGTGGTGCAACAACCGGCACCTGCGTTCACAAGCCTCCTATCCCTCAACAGTCTCCTCCACCGTCGTCGTGAGTTTCAAGGATCATAGCACCCCTCTTGTCTTCTTTAGGAAGTTAGTCTTCAAAGATCTCACATGCTATAATCGTGAAGAGATACTACTCGGATGGATGCTCTTCCGAATTTGTCTACTATTTCGAGGGAGAGGCTTCATATTTCGTGAGAGTTCTAGTTACAGACATATTAGTTCACTTGCATTGTTTGTTTGCGGAAGTGCCCAGCGGGTTTGGCCTACGATGAGAAGGCTGGATATTGCGACTATTCGGAAAACTGTGGCGGTAGATCCGGCGGAATCTGTTCTGAAACCATCCAAGGTTTTAACTGTTACTGTGACCATCAGGGGAGCTGATTCCACTACATGGGTTTTTGCAACGAAATTTAAGCTCAATTTACATTATTGTAGCGGGCACAGTTGCAAAGGATGACCAGAGGGGTACTATGCTAATGGTTGCTCGCCCGAATTTATTCATTGCAGTGATGGAGTTACGACTCGAATAGTAAGTAAACACACTTTGTATCACTTTTGCTTGTTTCTTATTCACTAACAACGCAGCATTTGTTCCAGAGATGCCCTTCTTCGCTAGTCTTCAATCAAGAAATGAACTACTGTGACTACCCTGAAGTTTGTTCTCTTCAAGAGGAACAGAGGCATTCTGTCGCAGCACGACTTTCCAAGCCACAGATCAGCTTTGGTAAGTGTACTTTTTTCCTCTTACCTCACCCTCTCAAGAAACGTCCTTTTCAGTTTGCCCCGAGTCGACTGGAGTCTTCTCGCTTGGTTGCACGTCGAAGTTTGCAGTGTGCTCTCACAAGGTTGCGCAAGTAATGACTTGTCCCGAAGGGTTGGTCTTCAATTTTGCTAAGGGGAACTGCGATTAAAAGGAGAAATGTCATGAAGGGAAAAGGTAACGATACCGACTGATTGTGGAACTCATAGCATATATCTTTCCTCATAGGACAAGCCTGCTGCAGACACACCTGCCCCGACGGCTGAGCCAAGTTCTTCTAGGATCTCAAACGGAAACAGAATATGAAATCATTTGTAAAGAGTCTGCCATCCAACTGCGTTCGAAACAGCGACATCTTGAGAATGCAAAAACCTTCCCGATGGCATATATGGATCACACTGCGGTTCATCCTTCATTATCTGCGTCAGTGGAGTGGCGTACACCATGAACTGCCCTTCGGACTTGGTCTTCGATGCTAAAAATAATCGCTGTGTCTTCTCAAAAGACTGTGACGAGAAATCAGCTGGGAAGAAACATGGCAAGGCCACAGCTGCACTGCATAGCCCACAGACCACACGAAACGTTTAATTTTCTTCGATATTTTTAGTGCGATTGATCATGTGAAGTTAGTTTCAGATTGCATGGTAAACAAGATGGCTTGCGTTCTCTCGGGTGCGTTGGAGAATTTTGCTTGCATTGCCCTGCAAGACTATTTTCATAGAACGACTTAGTGTCTGCGGTGAGCCCTTCACCTGCAAACAGCTGCACAGACCGAAGAATGTAAGCACTCTATTGACATATGAGCCCATTGTAAGTTCTCCTGAAGATACAGGTGGGTAGAATAGCATCTACCTCTTATGTTACATATGTGGCTTCGCTTAAGAATGCGAACTGAAGGGTATTTTGCACACTTTTCTTCTGTGGAGTTTTATAACTGTGTGCATGGCAAGCTCTTTGCCGGAAAATGCCCTGTTGAGCTGGTCTTCAATCCTGACAAGTATGTTTGCGAAAATGTGGAGAGCTGTGCGGGCATCACGGAAAGCAAACAGCAATCCAGCAACCCTAACAGTGCCTTAAACCGAATTTAGCCAAGTTTGCCATCCTTTATGAATCTGCAAGGTGCTTTAATCGTCAATAAGCAGATATATCCTGTAAAAATCGACCAGATGGAGTTACTAGTGACCTCGATTGCCAGCCACACTTTACCACCTGCCTGGCTGTGCAGATTAACAGTCCGGTTTTTAACACCTTGTCACTTCTGCAATGCCGTGTTCATCTTTTGTCGTATTCCAGACGTGCAAGGAGAATGGTTTCTACTCGTACGGAAATTGCACGGACCTGTTTTATGCTTGCTCGAACGGTAACGTTCACTTCTCTGCGCTTCGTGTACAAGACAGAGTACATTAAGGGCGTCAAATCACTATGAATTGTCCAGCTGACCTAGCATTCGATCAAGGCAAACGGCTGTGTGATTACAAGGATGCTGTCGATATATGCAGGGAAAATGTGGGAACTAGTGTAAAAGTTCACTCCTGTCAAAGAGACCACGCAATCGTAAAAGAGATTACCACTGTGACGCCTGTTGAAGAAGTCGCTAAAATGGTCATAGAAGAAACTATCGAGTTACCCTCTGAGGAGACGACTGTGTTTCCTGCGAGAGACTCTATCGAGCAGCATGGAGAAGATTTCTTTGAGCATTACAGGAGAGAGCCTGCTGAAAAAACCACGGTCGCAGTGACGGAGGAGCCTGAAGAGATGACTACAGAAACTCCCACGGGGACCACCAAGGATCAGTCGAGTTTATCGAAGATCATGGAAAGAAGTACATCGTGTACTACGGAAAGCCAGTGAAACTACCACCAAGCTTATGGAAACAGTAAAGATTCTTGTGAAAGATACGGCTGCAACTGTCATACAAACTAAGGACCTAGGGGAATACATCAAAGACCATTACGAGAAATCTATGGAAGATTTTGCAAAGCAAACTACCGAGATGCCTGTCATGCAACCTGTCGAACATGAGAAGTTTGTCAACGCTACCGAGACGCCTGTGAGGGTGCTGATCGACAAGTATGGAGTATTCGTCGAGAGTCTAATGATTTCTCTGATATGCAAGGAAGAATACACAGCCGTCAAAGTAACTGGGAAACCAACTACGGAGGTGCCGTTAACAGCAGCTACTGACCACCAAGAGAGCGATTACGAAGTCCGGCACGGATTAGGGTTCAGTCAGCCTCACAGAGAAAGTACATTTCCTTTTCTTTAATTCGTTTGGAAAGCCGATGGCAGTATATGGGTGAAGCATCAGGAAAATTCTGGTGATGTCAGCGGTCTGTCGGTAGAAGAGGCATCAGGCAGATTTGCTGGTGAAGCTCAAGGATTGTTCATTGAAGAGGCATGTGGAAGATACCCTTTGCTTAAACCAGATCGGTTGCTGGAAGGCTGATCTCATGACCTAGTAAGCGATTACTCGCGTCCGCAACGCAGTCTGCGCCTTCCTCGCGAACATGCTCCCTAATCACTTTCCAGCCTTAATTAGGTCACGGAGGCCAGACCTCCGGCCGCCGATCTGGTTGAAGCAAAGGGTACACCGGCGAAGCGGAAGGGCTGTTGGTGGGAGACTTCAGGCGAATTCATTGGTGGAGCTCGAGGCCATTTTATGGGCTGCAACGGGACAGATCGCAGGAGAGTTCATAGGGCGTTGGGGGATTTTCTCAAGCTACTTCTCGGGCGAATCTTCTGGATTAGCTGAAGTAGAGCAGATCCCGCGGCAATTTTCGGGCGACTAGTGCCAGCTGTACCATTTCTGATATGATTAGTTTCATTTACACTACAGTGCTAGGCGGCGTTAATCTTGTTTGTATAGCTGATTCTCGGTGCATTTTTTGCTGCCATCTAATGATTTTGCATGTAAATATTATTAAATCTATCAGTTCGTTTCTGCGGTTTTGAAAGAATGTTTGCTCATTCTCCTACTTCTTCGTAACCAATATTAGTGGATATCGCATCCTAAATGTTGTAGTCATGGGGAGAACATGCGAAAATCCGCTGGACGAACTTAACCACGTTATGGAATTGAAACACATACCTGCGGATATATTCGAACGAGCAGGTGATTGAGCGAACGTACAACTGCTTTTTTCCTCCATACGATCCATATGTTATTGATAGCATTTCAGCTACTTGTTCTCCTATGCTCTCCAGCCTCGGGAAAGGAGGCATAGCCAGCACCACATGCAAGAGATCGCGCTCCTCAAGAGCAGGTCTCCAGTTCTCGGTCGCGCGGGTAGAACGCATGCTTCGAAAGGGCAACTATGCTCGCAGAATCAGTGGAGGAGCTCCCGTCTTCCTGGCTGCTGTTATCGAATACCTCGTCGCAGAGGTATTAGAACTTGCCGGCAACGCTGCTCGCCTCAACAAGAAGGCCAGGATCAATCCTCGCCATCTCCAACTCGCTGTTCGCAACGACGAGGAGCTGGACAGGCTGCTCTCAGGCGTCACCATCGCCCAAGGAGGAGTCGTGCCCTACATCCATCCCGCTTTATCTAAGCTCCAGACTTCCTCGCGCCTCTAATCATTCTTCGCACCTCTGATTACTTTACAAGCAAGATAATCAGACAAGAATCTCGATGAAGAGATCTCGATGAAGAGTATTTTACTCTAAATCAGGTTGAAAATCTTGCAGTTTTTTTTCAATCACAGCTACAGTAGGTTTCAGCCTACAGAATATCGCGTTCAGAGCAGTTTCCTTCAGGATTCATGGGGGTAGAAAGAAATAAGACTGTCGCAAAATAAAGAACGTAGCTATCAGTCTTTAAAGTCGTTGTTTTCAATTGGAATTATTGAGACGAAAAAGATTTACAAGAATATGGCCAACATTACGGCTTGAAGATTTGACAGCCCAAGTCATACTTCCATATCTACTCGTAATTTTGTTTTATACCCCCATGAATTCTGAAGGAAAATGCCTTGAACGCGATATTGTGTAGGCTAAAACCGAGTATAGCTGAGATTGAAATATTGGATTTGGCTGATTATAAGCCTTTTTTGGAACTTACTATTTCATGCTTCGAATACGACACATAAAACCTTTATCTCACAATTTACCACACTCGAAAAGTTTACGAATAATTGGGCATAGGCCATAATCAACTAGAAGAGGTGCGAAGAGTAATTAGAAGCGCGATGAATTCTGGACCCTTTGCTGCCTCCTGCCCGACCACCGCTCGCCCGAATTTGTTTATTGCAGTGATGGAGTCACGATTCGGTTGGTAAGTAAACTTTCTATCATTGTTCGATTTTATTCAATAACAATGCAACATTTATTCCAGAGATGCCCCTCATTGCAAGTCTTCAATCAAGAAATGAACTACTGTGACTACCCTGAAGTTTGTTTTCCCCAAGAGGAACAGAGGCATTCTGTCGCAGCACCATCTTCCAAGCCGCAGATCAGCTTTGGTAAGTGTATTTTTTCCTCTTACCTCACCCTCTCAAGAAACGTCCTTTTCAGTTTGCCCCGAGTCGACTGGAGTCTTCTCGCTTGGTTGCACGTCGAATTTTGTAGTGTGCGCATAGATGTTGCGCAAGTAATGACATGTCCCGAAGGTTTGATCTTCAATTTTGCTAAGGGGAAGTGCGATTACAATGAGAATGTCGTGAAAGGAAAAGGTAACGATACGGACTTATTTGTGTAGCTCATAGCACATATTTTTCCTCATAGGACAAGCCTGCTGCAGACACACCTGTCCCAACGGCTGCGCCAAGTACTTATAGGATCTCGAACGGTAAGAAGAATAGAAGCCATTTGTAAAAGGTCTTTGTCATCCAGCTGCACTCGAACCAGTGACATCTTTAGAGTGCAAAGACCTTTCTGATGGCATATATGGATCACACTGCGGTTCATCCTTCGCTGTCTGCGCCAATGGAGTAGCCTACACCATGAACTGCCCTTCGGATTTGGTCTTCGATGCTAAAAATAATCGCTGTGTCTTCTCAAAAGACTGTGGCGAGAAATCAGCTGGGAAGAAACATGGCGAGGTCACAGCTGCACTGCATAGCCCACAGAACACACGAGGCGGTTAAATTTCTTCGATATTTTTAGTGCGATTCATATGTGAAGTTAGTTTCAGATTGCATCGGTAAACCAGATGGCTTGCATTCTCTCGGATGCGTTGGAGAATTTTTGCAATGCGTTGGCGGAAGAACCTACAGCTTGCACTGCCCTGCCGGGCTAGTTTTCGTAGAACGACTTAGTGTCTGCGATGAGACTTCCACCTGCAAACAGCTGCACAGACCGAAGAATGTAAGCAGTCCATTGGCACATGAGCCCCTTGTGAGTTCTAGTCCCGAAGATACAGGTGGATAGAATAGCATCTGTCTCTTGTGTTCACGTATATGGGATCTTCGTTTGAGAATGCGAAGCTGAGGGATATTTTGCACACTTTTGTTCTGTGGAGTTTTATAATTGTGTGCATGGCAAGCTCTTTGCCGGAAAATGCCCTGCTGGGCTGGTCTTCAATTCTGACAAGTCTCTCTGTGAAAATGTGGAGAGCTGTGCGGGCATTACGGAAAGCAAACAGCGTTCGCCTACAACCCTAACAGTGCCTAAAACCGAATTTAGCCGAGGTTCGTCATCTTTCAAGAATCTGTAGGTTGCTGTAATCGTTGTTGTACCGACAATCTGTAAGGATCGACCGGATGGAGTAATTAGTGAGCTCGATTGCCAGCCACACTTTACCACCTGCCTGGCTGGCACAGCTTTTGTAACAAATTGCCCAGCGGGACTTGTCTATTCAGTGAAAGCAAAACTGTTAGTACCTTATTTTGTATGATCGTTTTGGAATGAGGTAAAAACTAAATCTATGTTTTCAGATGCGATTATCCTGATGCTTGTGGGAAGGAACAGCACTCCTCAGTAGCGCCTGCAGCTGAGCCTACTCAAACGGCTGCTGTGCATTATCAGGATACGGCATGATCACAATTTCCGTTGCTAAGAACACTCATATTCAACCTGCTTTCAGAATGCTTGTGTGCTGGAAAGACCTCTGGTCCCCTAGAACACTCGAACTGTAGATCATCGTTCTCCTTCTGTGTTCATGGAGCCCTTTACACCATGAATTGCGCCCCTGGATTGCTGTTTTCATTCGTGACGCACAGGTACATCAACTCCATATTTCGAGAAAGATCTTTCTGAAAACAGATTTTTAGATGTGAATGGCCATCGATGTGCAACATAGCTCCAAAAAATACTGAACCCGTACTGCCTCCTGCTTCTCAAAAAGTTGTAATCAGTACTTCTAGGGAACTGAAGGCAGAGCATTGCACAGGTTCGCTTCTTTTACTGGATGGGAGTGCAGCAACAGTTGGTTTGTTTGCAGATTATGACTGCACGTCCTTGCCAGATGGCAACTACCAGATTGGAGAATGCGTGGGACGTTTCGTGATGTGTTCGAATGGACGAGCGTATGTCCAGTTCTGTCCCAGTGGACTCGTCTATAATCCCGGGAAAGGTGTGAAATAGTTTTTGGTATAATTTATGTTAAGTGAATGTTCCTTTCATAATTTGAAGTTTAGGTTTGTGCGATTGCGAATGCGGAAGCCAGGTAGCTGCATCTCCAACCGAGGAGAAATATGTGTCGAATCAAGCACTGAGACCCTGTTCGCCGACCCCTACCTCATTCGAGGCATAAATCGCATTTTCGTGCTACATCATAAGAAGCACAGAGAACATGGTTGCGATCGTGATCGTAGCGGATGTGGTGACTCTCATGCTCCGGTGAACAGGACATCAGTGTGCGAAGTCTGTTCGGTGAAGATCTGCACAATGTAGAGCTTGCAATGCCGATTGAGGAAAGTCAACATTCTCTGGCAATGTTTCGAACATTAATCCAGTGTCTTCAAACTGATTATCGATTGCAGGTGAGAAGCAGCAGCCAAGTTCAAACAACACCAGTGAGTCTTTTTGATCAAAAGCTTTGGATGGGGCAGAAAATGTGTTCCTTTTTACGACTTCTTAGTTCTCTTCAGGATACGAGCTCCACTACTACCACTACTGCAACAACTACCACTACACCTAAAGATACAGTGGTCAAGGGGACGTTAAGCAATGCTGGTGTCATAAATGCTCGGTCATCCCTTCAAAGTGTAAGCCATCGAAATGAGACTGGCGAGGTAGAGGACATTCTCGAGGTAGCAAAAGTTCATTTGCAAGAGATTAGATCGTAGTCAAATGATCATCGTACCAGGTGTCAGGCATCCGGTGAAGAGGTGATAACAAGGCGAAAGCGAAGTTCTACTGTTACACATGAAGCAAAACATGATTATTTAATGTGCAACGCCAAAAGCACCCCTGAGTTTGTTTCGCTGGGAAATTGTCATCAGGACTTTGTCATCTGCAAAGCTGCTGTGCTGGATTGGTATGTTTTTCTAATCTAAATCAAAGCCTTTCCTCGTATCATGCTTTAGAGAGCTGCATGCCCTATCGGCGACCTGTTCGATGCTCAGTTGAATAAGTGCGTGTCTTCACAGTTCTGTGGAAAAGATGCATCGTACGATGAGCCATTGCTGCAGGGTAATAATCGGATTTTTTTCATAATCTGATGTAAGGCCACTGTTTTAGAGCAGAAGAAACATGTTAAATAGGTCATCGCTGCTTCTACAACGGCACCACGTCCGCGCAACCACCAATCTATAGGCCCCGCAAACGACTTGGGCATCCAGCACATCATAAGCCAACTACGCACTTTCGGCTTGAGCACAGTCGACCAATCCCCGTACATCCGGTGCCCATTCCGCCACCTCTTTCCGTACTGCAAACCACCGCGTCTCCGTCGCCGTCGTTGTCAGAAGCGCACCTTCCTTACGACTGCCCCACCAACGTGGATTACGCACTGGATTGTTGTGGTAACTATGTGAGATGTGCGAACGGCATCGTTTACAGGATGAAATGCTCTCAGGTCAGTTACCACTGATGGTTTCATGAACTGTTCTGATCACTATAGCATTTTGAATCTCGTTTTCAGGGATTGGTTTTCGATCAGATTAGACAGTACTGTGACTACCCACAACATGTAGCGCAGGATGCAGTACCAGCCAAGCTCCTTCCCTATTGCCGCAGCCTAAACCTTATCCGTATCGGCCGGAAGAACAAGAGCCAAAGCTGGTTAGGCCTGCGCTGCAGTCGGCTCTATTGCCGCACACTGCTAATCGCCCAGGTAGTCCAGGCAAATTTACACAACGATGAGCTAGGGTTAGTGAAGATGAGCATTCAGATCTGTGCACGTCATCCTCAGACGGACTCCTTGGAGAGGGCTGCACCGCCTCCTTTATAATTTGTGCGGGTAGTCGCATGCAAGCGTCTATGAATTGTCCAGCTGGTACCTTCTTCGAAGCAACTCGTAAGACCTGTGATTTCAAAGAAAGGGTAGTCGCTTGTGGTGGATCGCTTGATGGTACGTTTTCACGTTTGGTACGTGAGTGCAGGTTTATTTGTATTTACGACGTTTATTCAGAGCCTATTCCATCGGTGCATTCCCCTGTCGTGGCTAGAACCACCACGCCTGCGAGTGTGCATGCCCATAGTTGTGCGGCTCCGCTGCAGCCGCTTGGGCGTTGCTCGTCGAAATTCGTTGCCTGTTCAGATGGAGAACTTAGCGGTGAATATTTCTGTTACATCGCTTGGTTTGCTAGTTTTCTGAAAGTTTTATTCCCTAGAATCCCACTGCTTCAAACCCCTCGTATTCAATCCGCTTACGATTACTTGCGACTTCCGAGAATTCGTATCCGAATGCGCCGAGTACAAAGGCGCAGACGCTCCTACCACGCAGGTGGTAACTACCACTGTGCAAACGACGACCACAACTGAGGTGGAGGAATTGTATCAGTGCTTTCTGCTTAGCATAAAAAATGTGTTTATTTAGGCTCACAAATGCGTATTCAACGAGAAACGGCAGGCCTTCGCTTTCGACTACTGTGCGCGGGAGTATGGGCTGTGCTCAAAGCGTGGAGTAGTAGAACGTGCTGAATGCACTGTCGGATTCTTGTTTGATGCACACCTCAACACGTGTGTCCCTGCCGAGCAATGTGGACAGCGAAAATTGGAGGCTGTCCTCAGCAAGATAGGAAGTCTGCAGAAGTCTTTTCTGCAGCATCCAATACCTGTGTATCGCGAGCTACTGCTCCAGAATGTCATGCGTAACAGAAAATAGTACACACCTACGCGTCAGCGTCCGTGGAATCAAATGATCTGTCCATGTTCTGCAAAGTGCGAAGTGATGAACTATACAGAAATTCTTCCGATTGCTTAGGAATCCTTCAGGCACTATATTGCCAGATTCATACTCACCACTAGAAAGATGGAGCATGACATCTTTCAGTGCTTCGGAGGAGACGTGTGCGAGTACCCGCCGTGCTCATCTGGATTAGTGTTCAGCGAAGCTAAGAGCAAATGTGACTACGGAGACGCGGTACCGGAATGTAAATCATCATCCGCTGTAGCAGATGGTAAAGATTTTTCGGGGTTGGATTCTTGAGACCTTATAAGTTATGATGTTGTAATTTACAGAGATGAAAGGCTGTCGAGGAGCAAACCATGGTGAACTGATCCCACACGAGAGCAATTGCCAGTATTTCTATCGATGCTCGAGGAATCACTTGGAGAAGATGCACTGCCCCTAAGGAACAGTATTCAATCCAGATTTGTCGGTTTGCGACTACCCGGCCAGTGTGCCGCATTGTGCGAAACGTAAATAAGCATGAATTAGATAGCGTAGTTTTTGATGCTAGAGTCATGCTAATCTTTTGCTAATCAATGGTTTTTAGACATTTTTCCAACTCGGTGGGAACTGTGATACTTTGTGATTATTGCCTGTCATCTGTAATAATTTGTTTACTTTTAATAATGCTGTTTTACTGTTTTATGTTCCTTCTTCAAGTAAATTAAATATTAACGAAATTTTCCTATACTTTGTACGTGTACGGCAACTAGTCGCAGACATTCTGAAGTTTAACACTTCAGTGCAGAGCATCCGGTATAAGCCTCTCCTAGCGCCCCGAACCTCGAATGGGAAACAACAATTGACTTCTAGTGCGTCGGGTGACTCATAGTCGTCAATTATGCGCTCCAAGAAAAAACTGCATAGAATCCTACTCAGCCTGGGTGAAGCATCTCAAAAGTTTTTTTTTGCGAAATCGCAACTGGGTGGAAATTGGAGCTCATTATAGATTCGTCGCTATGACATCTACGCAATCTCAGGAAAGCTTTGAAAAAGCATTGAGTTCCCCTCCTCAGCGTAAGCTGATATAGAGAGAGTTCACGTCTGAGATTGCAATTTCAAGACGAAGAGGTTGAGAAATTGGAAAGTCAGTTAGAAAAAAGGAACTGCGGATTCTCCTTTTCTAATTTCCTGCTTCATTGTCATAAAAAAGAAAACAAATTACTTTGTGATTTGGTGCTATACATGAATCTATCTAAGCCTGCCTGCTAAGGCGGTGGACATAACTCACGCGATTTCAGTCGCTACGCGATTTGGCAATTTGCCAGTTGTCTTAAAATTCAATACTGGCAGATCCCAAATGCGCAGAATGTATAACTTTCGTAGGTTGATAACATGACCTATTTTGTGTACATACATTCAGAAACCCTTACGATGACTTATGATTTGGAGTACAGCTAAATCGCTCGCGACTAAAATCGCATGAGGTATGCCCAGGGCTTAAGTGTTACATTGAACATCCTGCATAGTAATGAGTAGCAATGGGACATGTATCCAATTTTTCTCCTGCAGTTCAAAAAAATTATGAGAAGATAGGTTGAGCGTTGTTTGAGTAAGTCCAGTGAGTCTAGTCCACAAAGTAGTCCGCCTTCTTACTTCCCACTCCAATTTTGCATGGATTCGTTGTAGACAAAATCTCATTCGTTGAAGCACATCAATGTAGTACATGAACAGTTCATAAATGCGATAGGTGGAGCTCTGACCCCTCTCACTTTAGGGCCGGCATCTGGCTGACCCCCTTAACTTGAGGTTGATACTAGAATCAAGGCATGACGACAGTATCAAATAGCTGTTACACCACCACTTTTTATTCGGAAAGGAAACGCCAGCTGCTCTTCTCCTCAGACATCAAGACTGCAAGAGAGCAGCGAAGCAACAGCGTTTTGTTAAAAAAAAACACATGCTTGAGACTTCTGCGCACTCAAAGTGGCGTTGATAACGAAACATAATCAAAAATCAAAAGGATGCCTGATTCTTTGAATAATTAACATTGTATCAGTGAGCACAATGTCGCAAGAAAGAGTTGAGCAAAAGTAGAAAATCTGGACTAGCCAGTGATGGATACATGTTTACTGACGAGAATCGTACTATATCTCCTTTCACTGGAGAGAATAATTACAAATAAAAGGGATTAGTTACGAGTTAGATTACTCGTTTCTCAAGCTTTCGAATCCTATTGAACTTCCAAAAAACCTTTTTGGTCTGAAAAAATGATTACCCAGAATTGTCTGATATTCTAGCTAGATAGAATTGGTCGTATCTCGCTTCACAGAGAATCACCTAGGATTCAATTCATCTTGAAGGGTGTAATTATTAGGCGGGTGCAAGCCATCACTTCGTGGGAAGACTGAAGGATTTTCTTGTCAAGCATTGGCCTTACCTGGATTTGAAGCAGAAAGAACAAGTGGCAGATTTTTGGGCCGCTCTTGGTTCCGATGTACCAGCTGGTATGAAAGCGTCTGCCGAAGCGAAAATGAAAAGATTTGATCTCGGCATGAACATGATTTACTATCAACTGGAGTATGGCGGAGAGTTCAAAGAGTCTGACATTATCTTCGTCTGAAAAATGCCCTTCTCCACTTGAGTTCGACAAAAAAAGGTAAAATGTAGTCATCTAGAGGACTGCAGCAAGATATCAGGTCCAATGCCACTACTCAAACAATCGCAAAAGAAGCTCCGGGACAAACTGAGTTTTTAGAACTTCCGCGGGAACACTCCTGTTGGAGCTGCCATGTAGGGCGGGGCCCATGTCACACCGCCGACGCCACGCGGACCAATACCAGCGTTCGCCCTGGCAGTTTTAGAAGCTCAGTTTGCCCGGGAGGTTCTTTGCGATTGTCTCAGTAGTAGTATAACTTCATTCAAGATCAAAGCATCATCGATATCGTTGACTGCGCAGAAGAAAATTCGTTGTAGTTCGACGTAGAGCGTACGCCTTTCTGGTGACCAGATAGATGGTCAATGCGACTGGGGCAAGAATTTTTAATCTGCTCCACACTACCCCCTCAATCCATGTCGCTATGAGAGTGCCTGCAGATTTCTTATGTAGTCTCGAAGAAAAGAAAGAAGCTCTATCTTTTATTACGGTAAAAGTGCTATATTTCTGAAGGCAAGCTAGGATCACAGCTGCTAAATAGATAAAGGGGATGAATGCAGTAATCAAATTAGGCTTATAATGGCGTGGTTTTTGTCAAGTGAAATCTGTTGAGTGAAAAGTGGTTAGTTTAATACAAATTCTTCTTAAAAAAAGGAAAAATGCGGCTAATTGAGACGCTTTATTTATTTATTTTGAAGGCTTAGTGAAACTGCGAGGAATAAAGCTTCGAAGGGGGAAGGCTATTGGGAGTCCCTCTTTACAAACATTTCGTTTTGATGATTCTTGCCTTTTTACAAACATTTCGTTTTGGTGGATCTCGCAGGTAGAAAAAAGTTGGCATGATTCTTTCTTTGCATAATTCTGTTCTACCAGAACATACTGACATTCCTGGACAAAGCTTTGCCTCTGCTTTTTGCTTGGTGATTACGAAACGCTATTTAGTATCTGCATCTTTATTATGGAACCATTTTATACCATAACTCGAACAGTTTATTAGAGACTGACACTATAATCCGGGTTACTCTAATCGGATTCTAGAAATTTAATGGTAGCAGCAGGAACTTGTCTTCTCTTCCTGTATTCCTAATAATAACTTAGTATACAGAGATAGAAAACTGCAAACTTGTAGGGCAGATAATAAGCGCTATAGTATTATTCCAGTTCCGTGGCTTTTGTTGCTCATGAATATCACATTTTAAACTGATTGATGGACATTCTCTTGAGCTTGGAAGTTAATGGCCACGTTTTAGATAAATATATTACCTGGCGCCGTATCGAAACGTTGATTATCCAAACCTGTTGGCGCGCCACTGAAACGGCGCTGGTACAGTGTCGACACTAGGGAAGGGTTTTCGCTGTCTTACGGTCACGTAATGACTCAGGCTAAACATTTAACACGAAACAGAAAAATTTCATGTATGCATGCAGAAAACGCAGACAACATGAAAATACTTCTCGAGTTCTGCACTCGCGATAGGACGTAATAGTCAATGTTGATGATTTCTGTATTATCAACCAATAAACTCTATATTCTAGATGGCCTACGGAATCCCCGGCTAAATTGTGAACTACTCACTCTTGTGTATCTAATCACTCATGAGTGAGTGGTACGCGTGCGCTAGCAGTGTAGCCAATCGGCGGCATCTCCTTTCAAGCACCAACTCCTGTACATTGTACCCTGTACTCGGTTCAGCTCCGCCTTCCTTCGTATATAAGGAGCCTCCGACTGTATTAGAGGTTTCTCCCCGGTTAACACCGGGACACCTTGATCGCTTCTCGACTAATCTACGCCCGTGCGAATAAATCTACATTCCATAGACTCGTCCACCCCTAATCACTTGGTACCCACCAAAGCCATGTCATCTGCAAGTATTCTCCTTGTATTTCCTCGGGATTCCTTCTAAGGACCAAGGAAATCAAGGCCGAAGACCCGCGTGGCAGGCTATTAGCCGATTATTCGACTCTCGTGATTGATCCACCACTCTCAGGATCAAGAGTCTTACTTAGTTGTCAGGTCCTATTCATAGCTTAGCAGAGGTTTTTTTAACTAACTGACTGGTTCATCCATAGTTAGCGACAGACTCCTCGCGCTCTCGGCTACTAATTAGCCAATATTTGACTCTAGTAATTGTTGGTTCATCTACCTTTATTAATACGAGTCTTGCTAAGCTGTCAGATCCTATCCGTAGCTTAGCAGAGGTTTTCTAGCTAACTGATTTTTTCATCGGTTAGCAAAAGAACTGCTCGAGACTTTTTTGGCTCCCATTAGCCAAAAAAAGACTCTGTGATTGCTGTCCATCCACTCTCACAACGAGAGTCGTCTTGCGAAGCTATCACTTCATATCCATAGCTTAGCAAAGAGGTTTTTTCTAGCTGTCTGACTGGTTCATCCACAGTTAGCAACAGAAATCTTCGAATTCTTTGCTTCAATCGGCAAAAAAACTCTAGTGATTGCTGGTCCATCCACTCTCACAGACAAGAGTCATCTTGCGAAGCTATCAAGTCAAATGCATAGCTTAGCAAGGAGGTTTTTCAGCTGACTGACTGGTTCAAATCAGCTTTCCAAACTCATTTACAGTTGGTTCACCAATCTTGAGCTTTGGATCGTTACATTTACTGTACAGGTTCCAACACCTTACCGTTCAGTACAGCGTACAAGCCAACCAGGCGCGCTTGCTGACAGCTAGGAGACGCTCGGCACTCAGTTGCCAGCTCACTAGAAAGCTTCCTTGCAACCAGTAAGGACAGCTATCGTATCGAGGCCAGCCGTGCCAGGGCCCGGCAGGAGGTGGCATTTCAGAATTTTGAAAACGATATCCCCTTTGAAGCCAAAATTTCTTACGACTTCCCCTTTGACCCTATTTTTGACCCCCGTAAGTCCCTGACAAACAGATATACACAAATAATAAGATGGGCGGCTTCAGCGCTTATTATAGTAGTACTACCTGGCTTTCCTGGTCCAGCCCGGGTCCTGGTTAAAGGAAAACGAAGAAAACAAACGACCCAAAAGAGCGAAAGTACGAAGAAATCGTGCATATCGCGAAAACTGAAGAAACACAATTACAAAAACAACTTTTTGCGTAA